TGCGGGCACTTGAATGGTTTCTCATTGGTGTGGATTCTTAAGTGAGCCTGCAGTGAATGTTTGAACTTGAAGACTTTATTGCAGTATTCACATGTGAAGATTTTAAGCTGTGTCTGTCCTAACCTGTGGCGAGAGATATGATTTGTTCATATCAATGTACCAAATCACTTCACAAGATCAGTGCAAATGCAACAAATTTTATATGTCAAATTGCTTTAGTCAGGGTCTCACATATTTTGACCCAATTAATTTCATTTTTATTTATTTTGTATTACTTTTCCATAGCTTCTTTAGTTGTTTATGACTACTGGTTAGGGATAAAAAATTGTTAGTGGTAGATTAAATAAATGAATAATAAGTTAATTAATTAATTAATCCATATAAATAAAATAAGTTTTATTGCTTCTAAAGTAATGCAATGGCAGTATAATTACTATATTAATACTCTGTTCTTTGGTGCTTTGACAATTGCACTAGATTTGTAAATCTAAATTTAACATTTTAAATGTAGAAAAATCATGAAATACAAACCTGTTTGATTTGAGGGGTGCTTCATAAGCAGCTTGCTGAATGGCATATTCCTGGTATCCCCTTTTCATTGCTGCCCCCTGGGAACCTGCGTCTGCAACAGTCTGGGTGGATGGTTCAGCTGGAGCTGCTTTAATAGGAACTATCTTAGAGGCACCTGCAATAAAGCAAAACTTACAGTTAGTTGAAACGCTTCCCTCAAATATTAAAGCACCTGACATCACATGTACATCTCACCAGGCATGGCCTCGTGACTGGTAAGGACCACACTAATAATAGGGTCTTTGTTGCCGCTTGCTGATTCAGGGTCCTTTGCACTGGACAGCTTATCTGTCCGCATCGTGCAAGCTTTCTTTGGTGTCCTCTCTTTCTCCTCCTCTTCATCACTGATTTTATTTGCATCAGTATTATTACCTGAGCAATAAAGTCGACAGGTGAAACGTGTGGCAGTGCAGAAAGCAGAAAGAGCTACAACATTACCTGGCATGAATTTGTACCATTATACTCTACATCATCAGCGGCCTCTTTCAGTCCTACAAAGCAAATGTGCTTGGAGATTTGTCTCCTGTTGCTGAACACTCGATTGCATTTCTTGCACTCCAGATCACTGCCATCCTCACTTGGCTCTTCAGCTACTGCCAGCGGTTGTATTTCTGTGGACTCATTCTCCTGCTGATTTTTCTGGACCTTTTCTGGTTGGACTTTCTTAGTAGAGCCTTTTGGTCTTCCACGCTTTCTTCTCACAACAACATCTGCAAGATAAACAAGACATTCTTGTAATGATTTTAAAATTACATTTGTAACATAGGATAATACAGCTTTCATCACATTAAGCTTAAATCAGCTTAAATTGGAAATTCAAGCTTAAATCAGCTTGACATGAAGAAGCTTTAGATGTGTGAAGTTGTGGAATGTAAAAATCCTGCCTGAGGTATGTTCTTGGAATGGTGTTGTGTTTTTGGAAAACTTTTAATGAATATACAGCATGTTATACAAATCAGCTTAACATTATAATCGTCTGTCTCTAATTACTTTATTTTCAGTGTTTGGATCTTAATAATGCCCAATACAAGTTGATTTCTGGGTTCAAAGCTGCTTACCTGAAACCTGTGGCTCCTGAGTTGTTAAAGGCTTAAGTGCTATAATAAAAGTGTCAGGATCACCTCCTTCATTAGAGTGAGTCTCATTAACATGAGACAGCAGCAATGGTTTACTGGGAGAGAACAAGTTGCATATTTTGCACATGAAGAATGATGAAACGTCTGTGAATGTAAAAACAGCAGCTTAAGTCTTTATTCGGTTTATTATTTGTACAAATGTGCCCAGGTCAATTTACAGTTAAGTTATAAAGTCTCTCCTATAAACAACATTTGGCTTTTAATTTGCCAAGTACTAAGGTTTATCGTGTATCCTTCAAAATGTAGCATTCATACTACTACGTAGGCTATTGTAGGTCAATTATATAAGGCTCTAAAGATATGTAATATCTAACTATATTTATTTATTATTCGTCTTCTACATGTAAATCGTTTTATTTACAATTTGTGAGTTTTAAAAACCTTCCCTCACAGAATTCACTGGAGTAATTATTCAAAAGCATCAGGCAGCCCTTTCAAAATAAGAGCGTCTAAATATGTTCAATTTAAACACTTTCAAATCAGGAATATATTTATTAACACTTGATATTAATACGCATATTGATTAGTAGTTGCAGTTTAACTTCATGTCATTACAACACTGTTAATGTTAATTTATCTGCGATAGGGTTCTTCAACAAAATGCAATAGATGGCATGCAATAATACATTTCATAAACCCCTTACTAAACTGCATACCAAGACTGATTTTTCAAGAGCAAAGACGTGTTGTATTAAGTTTAATTATATTGTTAAACCCCGGGTTTTTCCAAAAGGAAACCAACAATATTCATGCCATGCCATCTCATTTTTGTAAACTCGTGACCAGTTTCGTGTGTTTCTCTTAGGCACTGGAAATAGTTTTCATTAAATAAGATGACGTTTATGCTCTCAGAGTTGGAAAATGTATTATTTCAACAAAGAACTGTAAACAGCGGACATAAAACTGAATTTATGTATAAAGCATCCTCTGGCAAAAGTTACTTTTGCTGGTGCAAGCCACTAGTTTTACCTAATTTATTTGTGTCCTTATCGAATCGTCGGAACTAGCCGTTTCCTCGGAACGCAGCTATCCTGAAAATCACGTTTTTCCTTACCTGCTTGCACTGGATCCATTCTTTTTAAATCAGCAATAAGTAAAACAGCCTCGAAAATGATTTAACGGTTGTTTGTATTGCATGGGAGCAATTTAAATGCATTCATTATACTTCAATTACTTCTGCAGAGGTTTCTGTCGAATCTGCGATAACAAATATGGCGGATGGATCTTCGTCTTCAAGCAAAAAAGCATCGGTGTCGAAGCGCGCGCCACCTGCGGCCTGGAGTTCACTTTGCCCTACTTGGATGTTCTTGGAGGTTAAACTTGCTGTGTTCTTGTAATCAGTAATGCGACATTCAAACATTTTTCCTGAAAATTAACTTAATGTTTAAACCCTTATCAAAATGAGAGAGGTGTACAGGTGTACATTATGCATTAGTATAGCAACTCCACACCTCAACAAGAACATCAGTCAAATCAATAATTATTAATAACAATACACATTAATTTGATTAAAAAGTGTTTATTTGGGTAAATGATATTCACAATGGAGTAAAATAGAATAAAAAGCTTAAAGTAAATATTCGACTTTATCAGCCTCGGCTTTTTTTCTCCTTCAGCATTCATGTAAAGTAAAGTGTGTTCGTGCATGACAGAGAAGCTCCAGTCAGTCACAGCAAACACCCTCCCCCCAGCCTCGTTTGCAGATTACAGCTGAGTGTAGGATGTTTACAACGACTACACTGGAATATTAGCAAGTTTACCACAGAAAACATTATAGATTTCAATAGATCCAGATGGCACACATGTAAACAAGTTAACATGTACATATCGTTGTTAAGTTATAATTAAGTTGTTATACAACCTTTAGGACGCATTACTGTTTAATTAAACACGCATATCAAGACGAAACAACTGGACGATGGCAGCAAACATCCAACTGAAAGCTTGTTTTACGGATAGCACAGCTTCCAGTCGGGGATGTTTACAGGCATGAACAACCAGCTTATAAAAACGACACACAACGACTGTGAAATAAACAGACAAACCCAGCAAAATAAGTATAATTAAAGTGAATTCTTATATGAACACCAAGGAAGTGTTTGTGGTGATTTTGCTGCCCCCTACAGTCCACACGAGCAGTGAAAATACAGCAAACGCCGAGTTGAAAGTTAAAGGTCCTCTCTCCTTCACGTCAATGACAAAGGGACCGCGATGAGGATGAAGACCTTGCGGATTTGAACAGAGCCACGGTCTAATCACAGACATTTAATGCAAATATGCTTGCGTCGATTTCGATCATATTTTCGTCTTCAACACAAGTTATTCATTTAAAACACCAACTGGAAGTGCGGTATGAAAACAGCCCTATGCGACCCGAGTTTGAGCGAAACAAAACAACAATAACAAAAAACACTCGTATTTGTAGACTGACATTGGGTCAACCTTGTTTCTCTGCTTGGGAATACGAAAATCGGTCACATTTCAGACAGACTCGAGCACAATCTACCGCACGTAAAGAGTTGTAATAATATGAAGAACTTGCTCCAAGTAAGCTTGTGTTGCTATCAGCTACCAAGTTGGGTAAAGAGGAAGCAAACAGTCAAGCCATAGCTGCACTGCATTCTACCCTCACAAAAGCGATCTAGAGCCATCCAGGCGTTGGGCTTGTCTCTAATACGGCACTGAGAGTTAGCAAAAGTCATTCTGCTTCTAAACGGAACAACACAGCACGGCTAACTAACGGTAGCTATGCTCTACAGCTTTGCTCCAATTTACAGACAAAACTAGCATGGACTGTCCTTCCCGCCGCACCAGTACCTCGTGTAACATATGGGTATCCTGTTCAATTTAGACAAAGCACCGCCGTTCAAGCGATAACGCGAGTAACCCACAGTTTATTACTGTATTTCCTCCGGCTTTTGCTGCAAAAAAAACCTTTAGTCTCCGCCATTCCGAGCCTGTTTCCTTCCGTCTCTGGCTTGCCTTTAGTTTGACCTTTAGTTACCCGACACTAATATTGACGTAATTGTCATGGTAACAGGATCCCGCCTTCTACGTGCGGCCGTGTGCGTCCATGAAAGTTGCTGATGATGGAGGGGAAAAAACCTGGATAACAAGGAATCTGTTGTCATTGTGATTAAAGATAAAAGGTTTAATGACACGAAAACATCATGGAGTAATATGACATTGACAGTCAAACTTTTTATCACCTGCACTTTGGATAAATTACTGCTTAAATGAAGATTAAAACACGATTTGAGACACAATGACCTTTATTGTAAATTCACACTTTACAGTTGCTTTATGCTGCAGTTGGTATTAAATTATGCACACATACGACTTAAAAGGTGAAAGGAAAAAGAAAGTCATTCATAAGCTCTGCTGTAATATATTTTTACATAACGGCCAATACATTCTCTATGTATCTCAGTATGACCTTGTACTTTCACATATGTAAAATAAGCTGTAATTCCGGCACAGCTGTTTTGATACAGTATGATCACATTGGCTCACTCCTATATAGTCACTGCAAACCCTAGATATATGTTAGATCAACCCATTCTCACTTGTGTGTGTGTTCTGGAATTAACTATTAGCATTGGAAGAGGAGTTATTGCTAATTAACAGCCATGCTATAGATAGACTTTTGTAGGCAAAAGAAAAAAGACCTGTGATCACAGCAGCGTGAATGTGTGATTCACTCACTTTATATCAAGCATCTGTTTCAACGTATCTTTACGCGTTTCTCACTGAATGTAAATGTGTGTGTATTTAAGCAGGCAGCTCCAAAGCACCTTCTTCCTCTCCATCCCCTCGGTTTGCACGAATCTCCAGGAGCGTACGGGCAAATTTGCTCCAGTCGTCTGTATGTGGCACGGCTAACTGCTAAAATAGAGATACAACCAACTTCTGCATCACATCTTCATGGTAGAGCACAATTAGTGACTGTTGAAATTTGCACATTGTTTGATCAGTCTGTGTATTTGAATTTGAGTGCAAATATTTATAATTCATCCGAATATTAGAGAGTGGTACACGTGTTCATGTACTCATAATGTAGGTGTTGTTACCTCTCGCACATCATAGATCCAAACATGGCCCTCTGAATCACCCACGGCCACCTCTCTGCCCCCTGATGCCCATCTGACCTGGTTCAGGGCACATCCTCCCTCCACTGTCACACTTGCCGATGGCACCTGGTACACACAGAAAACTTGTTTTGGGAGCGAAAATATAACTGTAATAACATTGTGTGGCAACACGATTTAGCTGCTATCTAATGTAGATCAAGCACACAGATATCAATTAAAGCCAATTCATACAAATATATTGGGGTAAGATACCCTCTCATACACCACCTTTTTTCCATGACTACAAGTGGTTATGTTCTTATTAATTTTGACTTGTCATGTGCACACATTAGATTTATTGGTTAAATTGTATAATTTTTTTCATTGGATCTAGGAATTAATTTCATGTTGGATATGGAGGATTTGTGGACATAGTAATTAATTTAGATTTGTACTGTAACAATTATTGTTTCCCAATTATTGAGTCCCAGTGGCATGTTTTGTTGATGTTTTATTTAATTTAATTTAATTATGATAACTCTTGTTATTATTTAATCAGTCCATGAATTCTGAGTGGATCATTCAATCTGAATTCATAGTTTATTGCTATTAGGATGTCCTTTTAATTATGAAATGGCCTGTGTATAATACAAAGAATTATATAGTGTAATTCAAATGTATCACTCTGACTGAAATTCTTTTTTTTTAAATTTGTCATTATTCAATTAAATAATAAATTGCATTTAATCAAATTGCTTTTACAATACTGTATAAAAATCTGGGGTCAGTAAGATTTGTTTATTAAAAAAATTTATACTTTTATTCGGCAAGGGTGCATTACATTTATCACAAGTGACAATATGACTTTTACACTGTTACAAAGTTTAAAAGTTGTTCATTGATAAAATAATATACATGTTATTACACTGAAGTAATGGATGCTGAAAATTCAGCTTTGCCATTGCAGGGGGGAACAAATTATATAATACATATAAAACAGAAAACAGTTTTTTTTAATTATAATTATATTTCATAATATTAGTGTTTTTACTGCATTTTTGATCAAATACTATACACAGCCCTGCTGCGCATAAGAGATATCTTTAAAAACAAAAAAAACTTACTGACCTCAAACCTTTGAATATACATAGTTTGCATATATTATTTAATTTAATATTTTACATTAATATATAAAAAAAAAAACAACAACACCAACATTACAAATAATATCAGATAACATATTCTGCAAAAATCAGATGACATCTGGGATAAGTTTAACCCAGGGGTAGGGGTCCTCCTATCCTAATATTAAAGTATGAAATGGATGTTCTTCTTATATAATACTGAAGACAGATGACTGAGTAAAGAATGTAATAAGCTGCGGTGCGCCCCTGACCTCTGTGTAGTTGTTGAGATTCCAGAGGTCCAGACGACCATTGCCATCCACTGTAGCAAAGAGCGCTGGATGCACTGGAGACCACATGACATCATAAACATAGTCTGCATTGTCTTCAAAGGAATACAAGGGCTTGTTATGCTGTCAGAGAGATGGAATAGTTATATAATGCTACATGATCAAAAAACATATCGAGCAACACATGAATTCCAAAACAACTCTTACTTTGGTTGACCACAGTTTGACTGTCCAATCAAATGAGGAAGTGGTAAAGAGGTGGGAGAAGTCGACTGGACCCACAGCGTTATGGCAGCTGATTCCAGTCACAGGACCCTGATGCCCATCAAACATTTCACCAATACCAGCCTTACTGCATGGGACGAGTTAAGCAAGTTCAAGTTAATAGTAAAGTTGTTTTTCATTAAGAGTTTTTAAGTGAAGTGAAAGTGACATGTGGCCAAGTATGGTGACCCATACTCGGAATTAGTGCTCCATCCAAAATGCACACACACACAGCAGTGAACACACACACACGTGTCCCTGATAACAAAACAAACCTTTGCATTCTGATACAATCATCCAAAGCAATTTACAGTAAGTTTCCCCAGGAGTCACTTGAGGTTGAGTGCAACTCTTGAGCTTCTGGGTCACCTCATTAAACCTGTCTAGTACCATCTAATGAATAACTTTTCTGTAATCATGTGGGACTCTGTGTATGTTTGACTGTTACATAAGCCTTGGCTGACCCTTCTTTGTCCTCCATATCTCGCCCAATGTAGTCAAAGAAAATGTCCGTATCCTCGGCCAGCACACGCTCCATTACACGGATGCTTCGGTCGAAGAAAAACTGGAAATCCTCTGAATGAATAATCTGCTCTTTCTCCTCGTTGGTCAGTTCTCTAGATTGATCTAAGGCACACATATTCATACAGCTCTGTATAGATGTTATACTTCTTTTAAAAATATTATAATTTTTTTTTAACTGTGAATCTTCTTGCCTTCTTCGGCCTCCTGAGAGTTCTCCTCCTCCAGCTGCTGTGGCACAGATTCAGATTTGGTCACTGACAGCTCCTCTTCCTCCTCCTCTGTGGAAAATAGTCATTGGAAAGTTTAAGCAGTGAGGCATTTGTTTTGTGGGTAAAGCCACTATTAAGTTTTATATCTATATTAATTATTCAATCGAAATAAAAACAGCTCTTTACCTTCAGGCTGATCAGATGCGACAGGAGTCTGTGACTCTTTAGAGTATGTCACCAGTTCTTTTGGCATGAAATCAATCTGAACAATTTTTGATGGACCAAGCCTTTGCATCCTGCACCTAAGAAAGCAAGCCCAAACTATTTTAATGTGTTGTTTTCAATATGCTTGTTTGTTTGCCTTGGACCTGTAAGCATTTACTTACCCTCAAGTGAACATCTTTCTTCTGTTGAGCAAGAAGATATTTTGAAGAAAGTGGGCAACCAAACCTCACTGACTTCCACAGTATGGAAAAAAAAAATCTATGGAAGTCAATGGGGACCAGAAACTGTTTAGTTACCCACACTCTACAAAATATCTTCTTTTATGTTCTTTGCATTCTGATACAATCATCCAAAGCAATTTACAGTAAGTTTCCCCAGGAGTCACTTGAGGTTGAGTGCAACTCTTGAGCTTCTGGGTCAAGCCATGGTTTCAAACCATTACACGACCATCATCCTACATTAGGTTAAACAAACCTGTCTAGTACCATCTAATGAATAACTTTTCTGTAATCATGTGGGACTCTGTGTATGTTTGACTGTTACATAAGCCTTGGCTGACCCTTCTTTGTCCTCCATATCTCGCCCACTGTAGTCAAAGAAAATGTCCGTATCCTCGGCCAGCACACGCTCCATTACACGGATGCTTCGGTCGAAGAAAAACTGGAAATCCTCTGAATGAATAATCTGCTCTTTCTCCTCGTTGGTCAGTTCTCTAGATTGATCTAAGGCACACATATTCATACAGCTCTGTATAGATGTTATACTTCTTTTAAAAATATTATAATTTTTTTTTAACTGTGAATCTTCTTGCCTTCTTCGGCCTCCTGAGAGTTCTCCTCCTCCAGCTGCTGTGGCACAGATTCAGATTTGGTCACTGACAGCTCCTCTTCCTCCTCCTCTGTGGAAAATAGTCATTGGAAAGTTTAAGCAGTGAGGCATTTGTTTTGTGGGTAAAGCCACTATTAAGTTTTATATCTATATTAATTATTCAATCGAAATAAAAACAGCTCTTTACCTTCAGGCTGATCAGATGTGACAGGAGTCTGTGACTCTTTAGAGTATGTCACCAGTTCTTTTGGCATGAAATCAATCTGAACAATTTTTGATGGACCAAGCCTTTGCATCCTGCACCTAAGAAAGCAAGCCCAAACTATTTTAATGTGTTGTTTTCAATTTGCTTGTTTGTTTGCCTTGGACCTGTAAGCATTTACTTACCCTCAAGTTGTGAACATCTTTCTTCTGTTGAGCAAGAAGATATTTTGAAGAAAGTGGGCAACCAAACCTCACTGACTTCCACAGTATGGAAAAAAAAATCTATGGAAGTCAATGGGGACCAGAAACTGTTTAGTTACCCACACTCTACAAAATATCTTCTTTTATGTTCAGCAGAAGAAATAAATTGATATAGGTTTGGAACATCTTAAGGGTGAGTGAATGGCAGAATTTTCAGTTTTTGTTTTATTATATATTTCTCTGTTGACACTCAATGTTTTCTGTATCATGTTTAATAATGTGAATGAAATTTAAGGTGGCAGTCTCACCCATGAACCGAATCTACACTTCTAAAAACATTCCTAAACATTTATTTTTTCTCCTCAAATTTGCCACAGATCTCCTAGAACATTTGTAGAATTCAGTTTGAAAACTCCTGCATTAAAACATTCCTCCATATACATCAATATATCAGCGAATATAAAAATAGTTCAAAATGGAAAGATTATCTATGCAGTATATAGTTTGATTTACAAATAGCAAATACCAGGGCTGCACGATAAATCGCATGAGATATTTAACGCGCATCTTGTCAGTATTGATCATATTTTGCGCATGTTTTGCGCAGCCTGTCAGTGAACAACGGCTCTGAGTAGTAAATGCTGCTCCATGTGAAAGCCCGCACGTGATGGAGATTTACCGCTGATTACAGAACGGCTTCACTGACAAGATGCGCATTAAATATTGCATGCGATTTATCGTGCAGCCCTAGCAAATACCCATGCAGATTTCATACCTTCCCACTGTCCCTCCATCTATGGACTCCTGACTTCCAGTTTCACTGGGTGGGCTCACTGATTGCGAAGAGGGAGACATAGGGGTTGGGACTAAATAATGAAAATAACAGGTTTCCCATGTTAAAAGCTGCAGTGGCTGCACTGATGGCCAGCAGTGGCAGACACAGGCAAATCAAAATGAACAGAATGGATTGAAATGGTCAAATCAAAGAAAAAAAAATCCAAAAGGAAAAACAACAGAAGAGATTGTCAAGTGAATTTCAGTTCTCTCTATAATGTTACAAATTTTATATTATCTTTCAATCATCTCATCTAATTATATGATAACAATTTTACATCAAATACCACCTTATAAATCTTGAGCTTGTGTCAAGTCCGCTTCAAGTACTTCAAGTGTAAATGATATGAGTTCAATAAACTAAATAAAATACTGTAACATCTTTATATTCATTTAGTAAAAAGTGTAGTAATTGTTTTGGGGATGAATCCATGACCTAACTTATATATAAATCTGAAATGACCTAAAATCTGATCGGATTTACAGCTAGCAAAAATTTTAGAGAGGTCACAAGACATTCCCGCAAAGATCCCAAAAAAAAAAAAAAAACATTGGACGCAAATGCAGGCTGAAGCGACATGCCCTTTATATAAAAAAACAGTACAAATTGGTCAGACATGATCCATACTCTTGTGAAAAAGAAGTGTGCTTAGTTATATTGAATATGCACTTGTAGTGCACTTCCAATAAAAGTATAATAAAAAAAACTGCATTTGATAATATTAACTGCAACTGATAATATTAATAAAAAATGCCACTTAAATATACTAATAAAGAGAATACACATTCATGACTGTTTTTAACCCACTTAAAAGATGCACCAATTATGCTTCAAAGTACACTTATATTGATGTGTTGACTAACGTACTAAAATGTAAAGTACTTGATTAATTATAACTGTAGTGTGTTATTTGATATTATATTTCAAGTTAATATATTTTAAATGTACTACATTGCAAGATCACCATTGCAAATACATGATATACAAGTTTCAAAAGAAGTTGATTTAAGATTACTATAAAAGCTTGTCAGTGCATTCAGCAGTACATTTTAAACATATTTTAAAGACACAAGTAATTATGAAATTACATGTAAAAAGTTCTACTTAAGTGGTTTACAAAGCACTCAGCTTGGCTAAGTTCAGCTAATTGCATTCATTATAAATTTAAACCATAATACACATTTTAATCACAGTTAACTTAATTCAGTGTCCAAAAAATATTACATTGTAACGACACTCTAATATATTCGATAAGAATATTAAGTATACTCTGTTTAAAACTATACTGTACTTTTTCACAAGGTTAGGGGAAGCCCTCATAGAGCACTACAGACTGCTGTGTGAGATGTAATTTTTTTTCTTTTGCATTATAAAACACTTGTGCTGATTCCTTTTCTCATTTCATTCAGGTGGCATGCACATTTATAAAGATGTATCTCACACACATTATGTACATGCACAGACAGCTGTATGTTAAGTATCACCTACCTAAAGGTGGTTCTGGTGAAATTCCAATGCTCTGCAGGAGCGCCTCTGTCTCTCTTCTCTTTCTGTCCAGGTCTGAGTCTTCTGACACATTCTCGGCCCTCTGAAGCATCTCCGACTGCATCACAGGTCAATCGAGTGCCACATAAGAAATATTTCCAGGTGATAAAATGATAAATGGCTATTATATTCTGTTCTGTTTAAAAGTATGTGCTGACCAACTGGCCCCCATCTTCACACAGATCTTCAACAGATCATTGGAGCTGTGTGAAGTTCCCTGCTGCTTCAAACGCTCCACCATCATTCCGGTCCCCAAAACCCCCCAAATCACTGGACTTAACGTGTCGCTCTCACATCTGTGGTCATGAAGTCACTTGAGAGACTGGTCCTGGCCTACCTGAAGGACATCACTAGACCCTTGCTGGATCCTCTTCAGTTTGCCTACAGAGCAAACAGGTCTGTGGATGATGCAGTCAACATGGGACTGCATTAATCCTGGGAATTACGCAAGGATCCTATTTGTGGACTTCAGTTCAGCCTTCAATACCATCATGCCTGACCTTCTCTCAGACAAACTCACC